TACTACTACTACTACTACTACTACTACTAGTACTACTACTACTACTACTACTACTACTACTACTACTACTACTACTATCACGATCATTACGACCACTATGGTTACAACGACTCGTACGATTACTAATATTATTACCTCTACCGCTATTACCCTTTGTTGTACGATCATTGCTGCGGCAGTTGCCACTCGTGCGATTACTATCCCACGATCACTACGGTTATTCTGACCACGGCGATTACCCCTACTACCGACTACTACGACTATCGCCACTCAGTATTAGTATTACGAATACGGGTAATAGACTACGAATGTTGGTAATATTCTTACCCTGAATACTACCATTCTAACTATTGTTTCTGCACTCTTAGTATTACAACTACGACTACCACTAGTACTACGGCTACTCGTACTACTACTGCTCGTACTACTACTACTACTACTACTAGTACTACTACTAGTATTAGTCGTAGTAAAACTACTACTTCAACTACTACCACTACTACTACTACTACTACTACTACTACTACCACTACTACTACTACTACTACTACTACTACTACTACTACTACTACTACGACTACGAATACTACTACTACTACTACTACGACTACTACTACTACTACTACCACTACTACTACAACGACACTACTACTACTACTACTACTACTACTACTACTACCACCACCACTACTACTATGTCTACTACTACTACTACTACTACCACTACTACTACTACTACTACTACTACTACTACTACTACTACTACTACTATTACTAATATTATTACTACTACTACTACTACTACGACGAGCACTCCTAGTACTGCTACTACTACTACTACTACTACTACTACTACTACTACTACTACTACGAACTACTACTCTCATTCCTACGAGTACTACGGCCACTACTACGACGACGACGACTACATCTGCGACTATTACGACTACGAGTACTACTGCTATTGATCGGAGGTGAGGGGGTGAGATCGAAGTGGAACGCAGAGCCCCCCCACCGGGAAATCGATTTCGGTTTCGTGTTCGTGCGTGCCGTGCGTGCGGGCGAGGCGAAGATGCGTGGGCGGGCGAGAGAAAGTCTCCTGTGGCTGAGGCGCGGCCGGACCAAATGATTCTCCGCCGGGCGGCCGGTGGCGCGCGGTGTCCCGCTGGTGTCCCGCCGGTGTCCCGTCGGTGTCCCGATGATGATGTTGATGCTGATGATGATGATGATTATGATGATGATGGTAATGATGATGAGATGATGTTGATGATGGCGATGATGATGACGATGATGATGATGATGGTGTTGGTGTTGTTGTTGATGATGGTGATGATGATGACGTCGATTGTGAGATCGAAAATGAGATCGACTGTGAGATCGATAATGAGATCGATTGTGAGATCGATAGTGAGACCGAATGTGAAACCGAATGTGAGATCGATAGTGAGATCGATTGTGAGATCGATAGTGAGATCGATGGTGAGACCGAATGTGAGACCGAATGTGAGATCGACTGTGATATCGATTGTGAGATCGATTGTGAGATCGACAGTGAGACCGAATGTGAGACCGAATGTGAGATGGATTGTCAGATCGATAGTGATATCGATAGCGAGATCGATTGTGATATCGACAATGAGATCGAATGTGAGATCGATAACGATATCGATTGAGTGGGACGTTGGTTCCCCCTCACCCTTCACCTCCTTATCACCCGCAGGGTGGTCGTATTTGCTAAAACTACTCTTATTGCTTATTGTTCGGGCTTGTATCATTATTTCCATTCTGTTTAACTACTGCTACGATTATTTCGACTGCTACGACTACCAGTGCGATTACTACTACTACGACGACTAGCACGACTACTACTAGTTCAGCGACTGCGTTTTGTATTATTTCTACTACTACAACGACTACAAATGCTACGACTACTTTAGTAGTACTACTACTTGTACTACGATTAGTTCTACTATTGCGATCACTGTTATTACTACTAGGACGACGACTACAAGTAGTACCACTACTACTGCGACGACGACGACTATTACGACTACCACTGCTATTACTACTACTACTACTACTACTACTACGACTACTATTACTACTACGACTACTACTACTACTACTACTACTACTACTACAACTACTACTACTACTACTACTACTACTACTACTACTTCCACTACTACCACTACTACGACCGGTGTTGCTATTATTACCAGTGTATTTCTACTAGTGTACTACTTGTACTACTTGTACGACTACTACTACTACTACTACTACTTCTTCTACTACTACTACTACTACTGCTACTACTACTGTTATTAATACTACTACTACTACTACTCTACTACTACGACAACTACTACGACTACTACTACTACTACTACTACTACTAATACTACTACTACTACTACTACTACTACTACTACTACTACTACTACTACTACTACTACTACTGGCACTGCTACGCTTACTATCACTCCTTCATTTACTACTATCATTATTACTACCACGCTTAGTATCACCACTTCATTTATTTCTATTACTGCTACTACCACTACTACCACTACTTCTGCGACTTTTACGACTACTACTGCTACTATTTCTAAGTCGCGGACGGGAGCTCATTATGCAGGGTCGTCCCTGATGCTAACAAAACGCTCCGTGTCGGGCGGGGGCGATCGGCTGGTGTGGACCACACACTAGGACGGTGGACTACAATTTTGGGTATGGTAGTCGGAATCGTATAGGTCAGGGGCAGCGAGGAGAAAGAGAAGAAGATGAGAAAGGAGGGGTCGGTGAGGAAGAATGAGAAAAGGAGGAGGAGGTGGAGGAGGATGAGGAAGAAGAAGAGGACGGAGAGAGGACCCCATCCATCACCTGCGGTCGAAGAGGGAGGCGATACTGACGGCCGAAGGGAAAGGAAGAGTACTTGCATTCGAATTGGGTGGCACAAATCATTTTGTCGTTGCGTTTTGGTTTGGTGGTAAGGATATCGCTCCGCTGATTCCGCTCCGCGGATTATTTATTTTCGCTTCGGCACGAAAGGGAACACGGGGGGCATGTTGACCGCTCCATGAGGTTCCCTTTCCGTTGCTTTCGCCTGTTTGGGCCTTCCGGGATTTCCTCGTCGCCACGGCTGGTTTCGCATTGCAGTCCTGGTCAGAACGCGCCCCGGAAGAGGTCCGGGGTGCAGCGGTATCGTTGTTTTTTGGTTTCCCCACGCAGGCTGCTCTCCCTCTGAATTTTCCTTGGAGTGGGTCTCCTTGCAGTTTGTCCCTCGGAGCTTCCCTCGCTTCTCAGGGGTCCATGCTACATCCCCCAGCGATGACAGGCATGACCAGCGGGGAGGGGGCCAGTAATGTCATGATTCGCGTTGGCGCCATCTTGGAATGCGTAGGGATGGCTGCGAGAATCGTGGCGTGACCAGAGGAGGAGGGGGTGGGGCGGGGCAGGTAGTGGGCGGTATATCCAGTATCACAAAACTATGGCTCCAGTTCTAGGGTTCCAAGATTTGTTTGTATTTTGCTTTTAGTTTCTAAGCATTTGTGGTCCTGTCTGGGCCTGTGTGAGCTCCTCGTCGCCATACCAAAGCCCCCCCCCCCCAAAGGTCTGACAAAAAAACGTACCCCTGGCGGGCGTCGTCGTGGTCGCCGTCGCCGTCGGTTACCGTCGCCGTCGTCGAGGCCTCCTCCACCACCTCCTTCTCCTCGTTCCTTGCTCCTCCTTCCCTCCCTGTTCCGCTGCATCCTCCTCCTCCTCCTCCTCCTCCTCCTCTTCCCCCTCCTTCTCCCCCTCCCCCTCCCCCTCCCTTTCCCCTTCCATTCGTTCTCCTCTCCCTCCTGTGCCTCTTTCTCCCCGCTCCGTCCTATCTTCTCCCCCCCTCCTCCCTCCCCTTTCCATTCCCTCCTCTGCTCAGCCCTTCCTCCTCTTTCCTCCCCTTCCCCTCGCCCGTTCTCCCTTTTGCCCCCCCACTCCCCCATGAGGGGGAGGAGGAGGAGGAGGAGGAAGAGGAGGAGGAGAATGAAGAGGAAGGTGCAGACGATCACGAGGAGGAGGAGAGGGAGGAGGAGGAGGAGGAGGAGGAATAGGAGGAGGCGGAGGAGGAGAGAGAATAGGGTAGCGACGACCACGAGGAGGAGAAGGAGGAGGAGGAGGAGGAACGTTTCCCCTCGCCCCGTCATCCCTTCCCCCCCGTTGCGTATGCATATGCGTGTGTATGTGTGTGTGTGTGTTTGTGTTTGTGCGTGCGCGTGCGCGTGCGCGTGCGTGTGCGTGTGCGTGTGCGTGCGCGTGTGCGTGTGCGTGTGCGTGTGTGCGTGTGCGTGTGCGTGTGTGCGTGTGCGTGTGCGTTTGCGTGTGGGTTCGTGTGGTGTGTGGGTGTGCGTATGTGTGTGTGTGTGTGTGTTTGTGTGTTTGTGTGTTTGCGTGTGCGTGTGCGTGTGAGAGAGAGTGTGTGTGAGAGAGAGGGAGAGTTTTGTGTGTAAGTGTGTGTGTGTGTGTGACTGTGTGTATGTGTGTTTGCCTGTGTGTGGGTGGGGGGGGCACGTGCGTGCGTGCGTGCGTGCGTGCGCGTGTATCTGTGTATGCGTATATGGGTGTTGCGTGCGCGCGCGCGCGTGTGTGTGTGTGTGTGTGTGTGTGTGTGTGTGTGTGTGTGTGCGTGCGTGCGTGCGTGCGTGCGTGCGTGCGTGCGTGCGTGCGTGCGTGCGTCCGTGCGTTTTTTTTTGTGTGTGTGTGTGTTTGGAGGGTGCGGGGCGGAGGCCTCGCGAGAGCGACGGGGTCGCCTCGCTTCCCGCCCTTCCGACGCCGTGGTCGTCGCCTTGGTTTTTGTAGAGTTCTGCGCCCTGGTTGTCTTCGTCCTGGTTGTCGTAGTTGTCGTCGTCGTCCTGGCCGTCGACGTGTTTGTCGTCGACGTGGTTGTCGTCGTCGTCGCCGTTGTGGTCGTTGTCGTTGTCGCCGTCGTGGTCGTCGTGGTTGCCGAGCAGCCCCGGCAGGTGGTGGCCATCGGGGAGGGCGCGCTGCTCGGCGTGTCGCCCGTCCGCACGGCCGCGGTCTGCCGCCCGCCGCCGCGCTGGCGGCTGGCAGCGACCGCGACCACGACGACCGCGACCACGACGATGACGACGACCACGACGATGACGACGACCACGACGACGACCACGACGACGACGACCACGCCGACGAACACTACAAAGTCCCACGGCGACGACGACGGCCACGGCGGCGGCAGCGGCTGCGGCAGCAGCAGCGGCAGTGGCAGCGGCAGCAGCGGCGGGCGGCAGGTGGGCAGCGGCGGCTCGAGCGGCGAGCGGCAGGCGGCAGCGGCAGCGGCGGGCGGCGGCTGCGGGCGGGCGGCAGCGGCGGGCGGCAGCGGCAGCGGCGGCGGGCGGGCGGGGGAGTTGGCAGACGGGTTGCGGGTCTGCCCCTCCTGGGCCTTTGGCGCCTAGAGCGGGCATCGCGGTGTGACGGCACAGGACCTGGGGGGAACGGAGGAGGAGGAGGCGGAGGCGGAGGAGCCAGAGCAGATGGAAGGAAAACAGAGCATCGAAGAGATGGAGGGCTGGCCGTGCCCGTGGCTCAGGAGGACGGGGCGGCACAGGATGGAACGGTGATGCTTGCGATCTCTTGTTGACGGACTGGTTCGCGTGGTGGAAGAGCCAGAGCGGTTGTCGGGTTTGCGTGCGTGCGTGGCCAGCGGTCCCCCCCCAGTGCGCGACCATGGTCTGTGGGCTCGATTGGGGCCTCTGCCCCTGCGCAGTGCAGCCCGTACGGAGTCCAGAGTCCGGGGAGGCCAACAGGGGCCTGATTACTAGGCCATGGTCTCCCCTCGGATTTCGGGTCGCTCTCTCGCTCGTCCAGGGCATCCGCAGCCTCCCCCCCCCTGCCCCGCCCCCTGGTCAGCGCTTATATCTCGAGCCATGATTTGCGAGCCCCTCGCTTGGACGACCCCCACTCGGACGCCTGCGGGAGTTATTGGCAGATCATCTTTCCGCCTGTGGAGTGGAAGCCAGCCGACGCTGACGCCGACGCCGACATCGACGACGACGACGACCACGACCACGACCACGACCGCACCACAAGGTGCCAACTGCCAGCCGATTGAGTGTCTCATCAGCCCGCTGGCGCAGAAGCGTGCGTAGAGTGAGGGCGCCAGCGATCATGACTCCAGTCGCCGGCCTGCTCGCAGAGTGACAGTCTTGGGCCCGAGACTGTGTCTTTGTCGGTGAAACCTCAGACTCGAATATGCCGGAACTCGGATTTGCCGACGTTTTTTGCCGAGCGTGTCCTGGATTTTGACGGTCCAGTTTGCGTGGGATGTCTGCAGCGGGAGTTCGCGTCAGATTTCAGACTTGGTCTCGTCATTTTCATGATGGCTCCGTCAGGTCATCCTGAGTCCCCCGAACTGGAGTCTTACGTCTTACGGACTCTTCAGATGAGCATGAAGTATTGATATCGATAGTTTTTCAGATTTCCAGGTTTTCCTGTTCTTCCGCGCGGGCTCCAGGGACGAATGCTCGAGCGCATTCTGTCGCGCAGGTTCTTTGCGTGATGTTCGCAGTGCGTTTTTCGCGCATCGGAGCGACCGAAGATTCCAAGCTGCATGCTGTGTTACTCTTGGGGAGTCCGCGAGTCGCAGCTGCCGTGGCGCTGTTTTCGAGGTAGCCCCTTCGAGTGCTGTTCGCGGGCGCAACGCGCGGCGCGCGCTGCGCCCACTCGCGCGCGGCGCGGCGCGTGAACCAGCCGGCCGCGCCCGTCGGACCGCCCGGACATGATTTCTGGATTGTAGAATGTGTCAGAAAACGCTTCCGCTGTTTTCCGCACAAGCGGTTCCGGAATTTTTCAAAAAGGAGCCCGGAAATATTCAAAAAAACAGTTTTGAGGGGTGGAATGCGCCCGCCGCGCAGGACATCTGAAGAATTCTGAAAACCGGAATTTTTCAAAATGGATTCCGGAATTTTTCAAAATCGATCCCGGAAATTTTCAAAAATGATTTTGGTATGTTTCAAAAAATAGGCCGGACATGTTCAAACGTGTTCCCAGATTTGTTCAATTTTACCCCCGGAGAAATTTCCAGAGTCAACCATGTTTTGCCTTGCCAGGTCTTTGGAAATCCGCCGAGGCGCGCGGCGCGCGGCGGCGGGCGATGCGACGGTGCGCCACCGTCCCCCCCGCGCTCGGCAACGAGAAAAGGGGGTCAGCAACTGCCATATAGTTCCTTACGGGCGACCGCTCGATTGCGAATGGGTGACTGACCAGCGGCGCCAGCCAGAGTGGACAATACTCGACGCAAGGTGTACCCCGCGCGAAGATTGTTAGAAATCCCGGAATTTCCGGAACGTATCAATAGCACGTTGTGTCAATATATCTTTCCCGTCCTAACTCTGGCCCCCAGTTTACAACAACCGCGGTTCCCGCCTGATACTTCCTCACAGCTCATTCGAAACCGCACTCTCGCGAGGGGTTTCCCAAAATTTTGTCCGAGAATCGCGCTCTCGCGTGGAACTTCTTCCCAACTGATTGAAACGCCGCGCCCCCGACATTCAAGAATCATGCTGTCGCTCTAGATTTCCTCATGATGTACTTGGGAATCGCTTGATCGCTCGAATTTTCTTCGCGATCCATGCAAGGATTGATGCGTCAGCGACCTGCCCCCTCGACTCGGCCGTCTGGACCCGCCCGCCCGTCCCGCCCGCTGGGGTCTGCCCAGCAGGCCCGCCCGTCTGGTTCTGCCGCTTATTTTCCTGCTCCTAACCCCCTTCTCAGCCTCTCCTGCTTATCCCGTTTCGTGCTCCATCGTTATCCCTCCCCCTTTTCCGTTCCTTGCTCCCTCCTTTTCCCTGTTCTAGGGGCTGCGCAGCGTACACGAGGCAGGTAAGATATGCCCCCCAAAGTGGGTGCGATCGAACACGAGGGGGGCAGGTACAAGAGCAGACAAGAGCGAACCGTCTTACCATTAGCACTGCTGCTTCTCACTTATAGAGGACGAGTATTGTTGATCCCCCGTGCGCTGTGCCTACTGTGTTTATTCCAATCGGCCTGCCACTCCCAGGGCTAGCGCGCCTCAGACTGTGCCTCTGGCCCCCAGCTTACAACGAGAACCGCTCCCGCATGATCTTCTCTGACAATGTACTTTTTCAACATCGTGCTCTCGCGATGGACTTCATACAAATGTAGACGTTTCGCATAACCCCACCAGCCCGTCCAGAAACGATGCCCAGGCGAGTTACCCTGGAGTAGCATGTCGTTAAATAAGACGATGCGGGAACCGTCGTACCCCAAGAGGGGGATGATGGAGTAGGACTTAGAGGTGGGGGTGGGGGGAGGAAGGAGGAGGGACGAGGAGGAATAGGCGGATGAAAAGGAGGAGGAGGATGAGGCGGAGGAGGAGGCAGAAGAGGAGGAGCAGGAGTAGGAGGAGCAGGAGGAGCAGGAGGAGCAGGAGGAGCAGGAGGAACAGGAGGAGCAGGAGGAGCAGAGGGATGAGCAGCAGCAGGAGCAGGAGCAGGAGGAGGAGGAGGAGGAGGAGCAGGAGGGGGAGGGGGAGAAGGAGGAGGAGGAGGCGGAGGAGGAGGAGGCGGAGGCGGAGGCGGAGGCGGAGGCGGAGGAGGAGGAGGAGGAGAAGGAGGAGGAGCAGGAGCAGGAGCAGGAGCAGGAGCAGGAGGAGGAGCTGGAGGAGGAGGAGGAGGAGGAGGAGGAGGAGGAGCTGGAGGAGGAGGAGGAAGAGGAAGAGGAATGATCAAATCTAAGACTACTAAACACATAATACTAATAATGATGATTATGCTGATGATGATGATGATGATGCTGATGCTGATGCTGATGCTGATGCTGATGCTGATGCTGCTGATGCTGCTGCTGCTGATGCTGATGCTGATGCTGATGCTGATGATGATGATGATGATGATGCTGATGATGATGATGATGATGATGATGACGATGATACTAATAGTGCTGATAATAGTATTAGTACGAGTAATAATCATATTCACCCTACTAAAAATACTGGTACTACTTATAACCATACTACGAACAATGTTAAAACTAATCATACTACTAAGGATAATAATACTAAGACGAAGAAGAGGAGGAGGGCGAACAGCAAGGCCAGAGGCCTCCTTGGATGCCTCTCGGGATCTCTTCGGATGATCTCGAGATCTTCTTGGAGTTCGCTTGGGGCGTCTTGGGGGCCTCTTGGCGGTCCCGGGGGGCTCTTGGAGCGTCTTGGGTGCCTTGGGGAGCCTCTTCGGGCTTCTTTGGGGTTTCTTGGGAGCCTCTTGAGGGCCTCTTGGAGGTTTCTTGGGACCTCCTGGGCGCCCCTCGGGCCCCTCTTAAGGCCTCCTTGGGAGCCTTGGGGGCCATCTCGTGGCCATCTTGGGGCGGGGGGGGATCGATCACAGAATGGGGGTACTAAATTAGAGTCGCTCCCCCAGCAGGCCCAAATGGGCCCACATGGGCCCAACGCCGTGGTAACGTCACTGATTTGTGCCTTCTCGCCGATGCCTTCTTGGACGCCCCAATCGGTCCTGACCTCCCCGTCCAGAGATCTAGGGGAGGGGGTAGGGGGAGGGGTCAAGACACCCTCCAGATAGCAAGCCGTCGAGCTCACTCCCACCCGCTCTCCCAACACAAAAGTAACACCCGAGCCTCAGCATGTTCCGAGGCCGTCTTTTGATGGACCGCTACTGGGAACCAAACGCGAGCCCATGTGCGCGACGTTGGGGCGAGGAGCGCCACGCGTGCCAGGCGCGCCACGCGCGCCAGGCACCCCTGGGGCCCGAGCGTGCCAGGCACGCCTGGTGCGCCAGATGCCCCCTCCAGCCGCGCCAGGTGCGCCACGTTCGGGGCACGTGCAGGGTGTGTCAGGTGCGCCTGCGCACATGACATCACACATCGGGAAACATGTCGGCCCCCACCATCTCTGTCGATAACCAATTCCCATCATTGTGTCTGGTGGGCCTGCGCACAGCAGGCCATACACCACCCCCGCCGTCCCTGACAAAAACCACTTGACAATGATCGCGGGGTGGCCGCGCACTATCCACATGTAGCC